GATCACGCTCGTCTGGTTGGGCGTCCGCCGCCACCCAAGGGCTTTGCACGAAAAGATGCTTGGTTTGAATTCAGTGTTTCCTTTCAATCGCACCTTATGCTTTCAAACCCCGGGGTCTAGCATCAACTATAACCCTTGGTTTTATCTTGGGGATCTCAGGCAAACAGGGAAAGATCATGAATTATGACGTTACTAAGATTTACCAGCCTTTGCTGGTAATCATTAATCGGGTACAAAGGAGCTCACTAATTATTATTACTCCTTGTATTTTTACTAAATAAATATACATAACAACTTGTAAATCCCTGTGGAATGGCGATCGATTATTCCCCGGAAGCTTTAGCTGGGAACTTGACAATCAAAGCATCGGGTTTCTCAATCGGATTTTAGGTTTGGATCTGGAAAAGACGGGTGTGTTGGTCAAACCCATGATAACCCATCATATAGCAAAGCATGATATTTGAACTCTCACCCTAGGTTTGGGGAAAACCCTGCGTTTAAGGCAGCCCCCATGTTTTTCCCAAAGTGATGACCCATCAAGAACATACGTAGGTACATGCAATCTCAAGCAACTGAGGCCGGTGCGCCAAATCTTCGGCAGCATGCGGTTCAGGGGAGGATCTCCGCTCCCGGAGGCAAGGGATGAAGTGGCGTCAAGGGCGGGCGCTGCTCTCAAATGATTTTCAGGATTTATCTGCCATGTTGATGTCAAATGATCTTGCGCTAAATTTGCAAAGGATATGCCATGATATGTCGATCACCTTGCAAGTCCTGTGCGAGGTGAGTTAGTACAAACGCCAATGCAGAAGCGAAAACTTACCTCATCAGATTGGTCAGTGCATGCTGCATGCGCACATGTCTCCATTCACCATGTCTGCCTTCACGGCAGGCCATTGCACTTCAGAAGGAGCTCCTAAAGCACAACGTGAAGCTGCACATTGCAACATTTCTCAATTAACCGTGGTTGGTAACAGATTTCCTGTTTTAAAGGGCTCAAAGGCCACCATACATCTTGACACAGGAAAGATTCCTTTAGCCCTTACGTGTCCCACAGCTGGATGCCGATCAGCTATTTGTTCAATCAGATCGCATTGTAACGGCTGCGTCAAGGTTGCTTGGTGCCGCGGCTGCATGCGTAATACTATTGTCTTTTGCAGTTGAAGATTGTAAATCGTATTGGAGTGGCTGCATCCAGGCTGCGATAGTGATTTGTCAGCAGATTTTCGCAATTTTGGCGCTAGTCCTTTTCCTTTTAAAAATTCTTTTAAAAAGTGCTTCAATATTGTCTTTTTTCTGCTTTGGCGTCGAGATCCGGTTTTGGAGCTGCTAACTATTGCCGACGCCGTTGCACGTAGTTCTATCGTGTTTTGCGATTCAGTCTCTGCAGATCGCATTGTAATGGCTGCGTTAAGGTTGCTTGGTGCCGCGGCTGCATGCGTAATACTATTGTCTTTTGCAGTTGAAGATTGTAAATCGTATTGGAGTGGCTGCATCCAGGCTGCGATAGTGATTTGTCAGCAGATTTTCGCAATTTTGGCGCTAGTAATTTTCCTTTTAAAAATTCTTTTAAAAAAGGCTTCAAAATTGTCTTTTTTCTGCTTTGGCGTCGAGATCCGGTTTTGGAGCTGCTATTGCCGACGCCGCTGCGCGTAGTTCTATTGTGTTTTGCAATTCAGTCTCTGCAGATCGCATTGTAATGGCTGCGTTAAGGTTGCTTGGTCACAGTAGTACTGGGAAGTAGTTTGTGCAAGCTTTTGTAGTAGACATCAGTACTGGGAAGTACTTGACATGAAAATAGCCAAGAAGAACTTAGCTGACATATGGGAAGACATGGAATGAGATGAGAAGAGCTCAGATGAGATGAGTTGAGATGAAGTGCAAGTGTGAAGTGTGGAGTGTGGGGTGTGAAGAGTGCAATGTAAAGTGTGAGGAAAGTGTTTGCATTGTACCGGGGTGGCGCGCAGGTCATGTTCTTGGACAGCAACACTGCAACAGCTTCGCACAAAGCACGCACGGGCCTGGCTGGCGCACGGCGCATGCAAGTTCCTTACTAGTAGTACTGCAAAGTGATTCATGAAAGCTTAGATGACATATGAGAAGAGATGAGCTGGGATAAGGTGAGAAGAGCTCAGATGAGATGAAGTGTGGAGTGTGAAGGGTGCAGTGTGAAGTGTGGGGCGTGAAGAGTGCAGTGTGAAGTGTGGAGTGTGAAGTGTGAAGTGTGGACTGTGAAGTGTGAAGTGTGGAGTGTGAAGTGTGAAGTGTGGACTGTGAAGTGTGAAATGTGGACAGTGAAGTGTGAAGTGTGGACCGTGAAGTGTGAAGTGTGGAGTGTGCAGTGGGAAGCGTGCAGTGTGAAGTGTGGAGTGTGGAGTTTGAAGTGTGGAGTGTGAAGCGTGAAGTGCGAAGTGGAGCTTCAAATGTGACATGTGAAACAGGACACCACTTTCGAAGAATGCATGCACGCACGGGCTTGGCTGGCGCACGGCGCATGCAAGTTCTATAGATGAGAAAGGTCTTATATCCCTAAGGCAACTTCCGCCCCGCCTCGTGCGGGTACTACTGGTACTATCTCTTGACCATGGCGCATATGGATGGTCAAAAAAGTCTTTCGAAAAAGGTCCACCAATCTTCAGGGCCAAAAACATCAGAGAATCCCTGACCAATCGGCCAATCGGCGACTGATCAGATCTCCGCCGGAACGTGGCATGAGCGAGACAAGCTACTCTCAGGTGGGATCTCTGACCTTCGTCAGGGAGTTGGACGGGGATGGGTCACGGTGTAGGTGATTTGTTCCCAAGAGCGTGTTTAGAAGTTTAGTTGCTTCTCTTGGGGATCCAGCTTCAGCTGACAAACAGGCGTCATTGGGTTGTAATGCCGTGGATATGTCCCAAACTTGGGGACACCTAATGTCCCAAGACAGACGTATTTCCTGGTTCATAAGGACGTACAAGACTTAAACGGTGGCATTTGTGGACGTAAGGATAAAGGCTGATGAACATAATGACATGCCAACTCCATATGGTCTATCTATCAAAGAGAGTAGCGGATACAATTGACACAAGCAAGCAACAGCAAAAACGTCGAGCAACAAAGAATAATACTGGTTGGTGGTTTGGAACCATGGAATTTTATGTTTCCATTCAGGTGGGAATGTCATCATCCTTTTCAGAGGGGTAGGTATACCACCAACCAGATAATAAACCATCCCCCAGTCATCACCATAAAGAGGTGGTATAAACCGCAACCAAATGGGTAGTTTATGATGGTTTAAACCTCATTAAATAGGATTTAATCATCAATGAACTAGCAAAAACCCATCAAGTTCTGGTTCCCTTTCCCCGCTCAAATCATGCAAATCATGTCCGAAGGGGTCCCGCAAACCTGGAGGAACCCCGCCAGCTGGTTGGATTTGGAAAGGGCAAAGTGACACAACCGCCTGGACAATGCCTTAGCCAATAGAACAACCCCCCTTTGATGCATTCTTTACATCAGATATAAATGGTGAATTTCCATCTCCCAAATTATCTAGACTATATATCTATATGTAATCCAGAAATCATCTATCCTGGCAATCTTCAATGGAAAAAAACTAGTATGTACTTGCACCTCTAAATCCACTGGTTAATACGTTAATGCTGTAAACCCAATGCCATAAACTATCCCCACAGTCGAGGTTTATCCTATTTAAGTGGGATGATGTTTGACATGATGGTGACTACGGCACTGGGTGTACCACATAAAACCTCTTATTAACCATGATTATCCCATTATGAATCATAATTATCCCATCATTAACCGGTATTATTAACCATTCATGGCATTGGTGGCATTAATCATGCGAAATATCAGGGCGAGATCCTCCGACACCTCGCCGTTGCGGCGCAGGAGTGGTTGCGGAGCAACCGTGATTTCATTATTTCAGCAGAAAAAACTGAGTAAACCAATGTAATAGTTGTATCCCATTAATCATTTGATAGTCCTAGTTACTTCCCATTCGTCAATGGGACTTAGAACCGCAAGAAATGAAAGACATGGGTAAATTTGACAAGATAATATGGAATTGAACCAGCTATACAAACAAAATTTGACCAGAAATTTGAGGATGGGATCCGGACCAAATGTGGGTTTGGCTACCAAACGAGTAGAACTTGAGCATCAAAATGGTGATTCACTTGGGCAATCTGTGGATAGGAAGCAACAAGCTTGGATATCACTAGCGGCGTGTGGAATTCAAGCTGCACAAATTGGGATTGGTCAACCAAATGTTGGCTCAACCAATAGAAATGATATGTTTTTGACCAGAAATCTGAAATTTTCAGCTACAAAATGACGATCTTAACCCAGAAGGTGGTGATTTGAAGCAGCAACATTTGAACAATGATGAAGAGAACACAATGGATATTTTACTTTCAAGAAGAACCCAAACATGGCAGACATAGGCATATGGCCAACCAACTTTACGACCATCAATAGTGCTGTTGACTGAGTGTTGACTGAGCCGTGCCCAATTAATCTCTGGTTGACGTTTTATGCATGTTTTACTGTTTTACTCATCAATCATGTTTTGTCCAACCCCGATATCATTGTATTTTTGTGTGACTGCGGACCCAATTTTTGCTGCTTAAATACTTAATCCACCAGAAAATGACATAAGCTCCCTTTTTTCGTGCTAATCCCATTTCTGCAAAGGTGATGCCTTCACTTATAAGTTGATTTATCTTCACCCATCTAGTATATATGTACATATATTATACCAACAACCCAATCGTTCATCTACTTCCAAACCATCAACTTAGCTACCCTTCGGTAATCAAACATGGCGTGCTGGATAATTCCCCCATAGCTTGGCAGGATACTTCCCCCACCCATAGTTCGACGATGTTCCCGGTGAAAGCTCCATTTCGTTCGTTGATTTCGCTAGCCATGCGGGCATCACCACCATACCTGCCACCATTAGCTGGGTCCTATGAGCACAGGAGGCCCGTCGAGAGCATGCCATGGCCATGGCGCTGCGATGGTGGTTTTGGACCTCGCGCATGCAGAGGCGCCACCGCGCCGGGTGGAGATTTCTGGGCCGAAGGTCGGTGAGATTTCTGGTGGAATTTAATGGACTCAATAGAAATTAAACATCATCTCTACCATCCTAGAAAACCTTTTTGAAAACCTATATTTCTATCTGATTAATATCTTTTTGGGGGCCCATTTGGATATAATCATATCGTGGAATATTGTGATGGGATCTCAATAGGGGATATGTAGCCTACTTCAGCCAGCTGGATGGCTATACTTTGGTAATCTTTGGTATAGCATGTAATAACTAGTCTTTTGCTATGGGGCCATTGATACTAACCAGCCAAACATATTCTTGCAGGGTGTCCAGCATCGGCCGTGTCGAACTAATCATAATGGGGATATCAGGGGAATTTGTTCATGGGATGTTGGGATGTTAATGGATATTAATGGTATATATATACATATGATATATTATATCGTGATATTAGTGGGATGTTGGAATACACCTACTGTAATAAGATGCCTGAAACTGGTGGGATTCAAGCAGTGTTGTGGAGTATGATGGGATTTATAAGCAAGATTATATCGATATGGGTGTGTGAGAAGATGAGCTGTGCCACCAATGTTTCGTCCATACTTTGATATCCCTACATGGAGATTTCTTAAAATGGGGGATCCCAAAACCATGGGTTTCAATACTAAATTCTATTAATTTTGGCTGATATCGGGTACCCCCATTTTAGGAAACCTCCATATATCTCTATATTACATTATACCTATTTCAATATAGCCCAATGTTTTTTCTATGATTTTTTATTCGACATTTATATCGATATTTCTGTATTTTCCTTGGGTATTATTGGGTATAATTGGATGACATGTTTCTTCTATATGATATTTTCATCCAATTACTCTATACCCAATAATATTGGATAAATAATTGGATGAAAATTGGATAGTTGGGTAATACCTGGTGATTTTCCATAGTTATGTTAGTCTACCAGAGGGTATATGATATTTCATCAGTGGCTATTTCAGGAACCTAACTTGGAGGTACCTACCATATATAATGCCTATTTTTCAGGCCTATGTAAGGGAATATCCCCACAAAATATGGTACCTTCATTTTAGGATCCTGAAATTCCCATTGATAAATGGGAGATGTTCATATGAAACTATGGGAAAACCATCCTATAATTGGGTAATACCTGGTGATTTTCCATAGTTATGTTAGCATATGATATTTCAATATCCCCATTTTCATCGCACATCCCAGGTCCATCGCCCTGTTCCGTCGTCACCTGGCGCTCTCGCGGCGCCGCAGCGCCGTTCAGTGCTGGAGGCACGGTGCTACAGCGCGACGCCAAGGGCGAGCGATGCAAAGGGCGCGGGAGGCGCAGCGCTGGTGGATTTTTTGAATCAAAATGGTGGTTTCAACAAACAAAAATGAAAAGGTTTGGGATAAATGATCTATAAATGGTTTGGAACTGATCTATAATAGTTCTAGATGCGCTCGGGTATCCCAATTGTTTCTTGTTTTTTTAACTGTAAATAACAGAGATGATTAACTGGGATAATCCTGATTCAAGCAACAAAAGAATAGGTTTCATGGTTTGAAAGTTTCTATAACATGGGATATACCATCTGGTTATTTAACAGTTCGCCATGGAAAATCACCATTTTTAGTAGGTAAACCTCTATAAATGGGCTATTTCCCATGGCGAACTGTTAGTCATAGCCAGAGGCTAATGGAGATATGGTACAGAATCTGTGGTTTTTTCGAGTCTTGATTTAAGGATCATCCCAATGATCTGTGTAGATGTGGGATATGGATCAATGGCGTTTTTGATGTGGGAATATTTAGATTTAGGGGAATAACTATATATATAATATTGTATATGGGATATATATGATATATATATATGGGATATTCAATGGGGAAATCTTCATGGGAATATGGAACAAGTAATCCCCAAGACTTGGTTCTGAGGGTCTGCTTGATGGTTTCTCTCGATGGATTTTCAGCTGTCAAGATGGGTCGACGGTCCCCAGTGACACAAAAGCTCATTTTTTTTCGGCTTGACAACTCCAACCAGGGATGGGGTATGGAAAACCAATCATTTTACCAGGATAGAATGGGGATTTACTGGGATATATATATATATTATATACACATATACAAAACAATATGACGGACATCACATAAAAGACAGGTGAAGGGTAGTGGAATAGTTTCTTTTCGTAATTTTAGCGGTCGTATACCCTGCTTAGCTAAATGCACCCTCTGGTAAACTAACATAGCTATGGAAAATGATAACGAACTAAATGGCCATTTTCAATAGCAATGTTCAATTACCAGAGGGTATAGAGAAGTAAGATGAAGTAAGACAATTTATCTAGACATCAAACTTCAAATTGTTTCTTCCAAGAAAAAGGGAATCACTTCAGAATGACTGGTGAAACCTGAGACGGGTTTCCTCGACTGGTGGGGAGCTTTTTTGGATATGTTAGTGTACAACTGGAGGGTTCTTTCAAGCCACTCACAGGGATACTTAGCTGGTGACAAACAAATCGCACGCAACAACCGTCACAGTTGCCACACCTGGCCACGATTGTTGGTCGCATACCCACGGGCATTGCGTGCCCGAGGCCCCGAGATGGGCAAGTTGAAGTGTATAATACACTGTGTATATATAATATACATAATATATATATATACTACATAATATACATACATATGTATATATATCTATATATATATATATTATACAGTATACATATATCTATATATATATATATTGATCCAGCTGAGTGATTTTCCCATCTCCCATGTGACCTCAGAACCTCCATTTTTCTATGGGGATTTCCCAGCCATGTCGCCCTCGAGGCTTTGTGGCGTCAACGCCTACGCCCTGCGCGGCTGCGGCCGCTGCTGCGCTTCTGGTCACAGGACGCGGCGCGGCGGGTGAGGCGAAGGACACAGCCACTGCGGGCGGCGTGCTTCGAACGAGAGAGGTAGGGGATGATAGTGGGAATAAGTACTATGGGATTATTCCATCATATATATATATATATGATATATGGAGATTAGCTATAACTATTCCCAGGTTATATATGAATGGAACTATATGGAGTTGCATGGAGTTTCATGGCATTTAATGGAACTCAGGAAAATGGTACCATATGGAACATAGTTTAACATAATGGGACTATATGGAGTTGAATGGAACCTAGCGTGAATGGGAATAGTTCTAGTGAAGATTTTTGGTGATGGGATGTGGCAAGGCTTTAATGAGGATATGATAAGATAGTTATACTTAGTATGAATAGGTTTGTAATTCATATCCCCTTTTTTCATAGGGAAAATTATGATTAATTAATGGATTGAGACTGATAAGCCATATGATAAAGCCATTAGTAAGCTCCACACCAGCAAACATGCGGATGTAATGGGGATTGTAAGAACACCCCCACGAGCGCAGTTATAGATATGATATATCATGAAAAGTGAACATGAGACATGAGTGTACAATGTCACAGGGAGATAATATGGATGAATTTAATTATGATCTTTCTTTAGCAGTATGGTATTGACTGCATTACATATCACATATATCGCATTGATATCCCTATGTTCCTATACAACCATAATTATTCCACTATAATGGGCACCAATGTATATATATACACATAATCCCATTCCCCTAATGTTCAAAAAACCCATCGTATGGTCCCATCTATGTGTAAATCCCTTATTAAACCATTGTTTCTCGGCGGTTAATATGAATGGGAGATGGGATGCATCAACACTATATATACCTTATAACCATTATTATTATTATTATCGGTAATGGATTTTCCATATTATGATTATTATCCATTACATCCCAATGTAAAAATACATAAACTCCATATACCCACTATATATTTATCCCTATAATCAATACTATTGTGGGTGTAATCCATGATTGATATGGATATGATGCAAACTGTCAGTTTACCAGAGGGTAACTCCCATTAAATCCCATTAAATCCCATTAAACCACCATTAAACCACCATTAAATCCCATTAAATCCCATTAAGCCACCATTAAACCACCATTAAATCCCATTAAATCCCATCAAACCACCATTAAATCCCATTAAACCACCATTAAACCACCATTAAATCCCAGTAAATCCCATTAAATCCCATTAAACCACCATTAAACCACCATTAAATCCCATTAAATCCCATTAAATCCCATTAAATCCCATTAAACCACCATTAAATCCACCATTAAATCCCATTAAACCACTATTAAACCACCATTAAACCACCATTAAATCCCATTAAATCCCATTAAATCCCATTTAAACCACCATTAAACCACCATTAAATCCCATTAAATCCCATTAAACCACCATTAAATCCCATTTAAACCACCATTAAATCCCATTAAATCCCATTAAACCACCATTAAATCCCATTAAACCCCATTAAACCCCGTTAAATCACATTAAATCCCATTCCAATTAAACCCCATTCCCATTAAACCACCTTTAAACCACCATTAAATCCCATTAAACCACCATTAAACCACCATTAAACCCCATTAAATCCCATTAAATCCCATTAAATCCCATTAAACCACCATTAAACCACCATTAAATCCCATTAAATCCCATTAAACCACCATTAAATCCCATTAAACCACCATTAAACCACCATTAAATCCCATTAAATCCCATTAAATCCCATTAAACCACCATTAAACCACCATTAAATCCCATTAAATCCCATTAAACCACCATTAAATCCCATTAAACCACCATTAAACCACCATTAAATCCCATTAAATCCCATTAAATCCTATTAAACCACCATTAAACCACCATTAAATCCCATTAAATCCCATTAAACCACGATTAAATCCCATTAAACCACCATTAAATCCCATTAAATCCCATTAAATCCCATTAAACCACCACCATTAAACCACCATACCAACCCCATTAAATCCCATTAAACCACCATTAAATCACCATTAAACGGAGTAAATCCACCATTAAACCACCATCTACCAGAGGGTATCTACAAAAAACATCCACCATGTCCCCATTTTCACCTCGGCAGTTTGTTGCGCGTGGCCTATGGCGCCTGGCGCAGCCACTGGTCTGCCCGGCGCAACGCAACGGCGCAGCGCCGCCGCGCGGCGCTGCAGCGTTTGGAGCGGCGAAGGTGGCGCAGACCGGGGAAGGAGAGGGACATTGGTGGAAAAACCTGGAAAAAACAGGGAAAAACTCAGGGAAAACAGGGGAAAAATTGGGAAAAACTGGGGAGAACTTGGCGAAAAACTTGGGGAAAACTGGGAAAATGGTTGCGTTTACAATCAAGACACTTGGGGTTTCACCAGTGAAATCTTGGATTTGGGATGATGCTGCTGAGGATCTGAGCATCAAAAATGGATTTAAGATGTTTCACAGGGATTCAATAGAAAATAGCTAAAACACATTGGGGAACGTGGTGGTGGGGTTAAGGATCAAGAAATGTGTGATTTCCCCAGCAAAATATGGAATATGAACTTGCTATGAAACAATGATAATAAACCGTCAAATCTGGGCGTACTCTGTCTTCACAGAAACCCGCAACTGGCCTGTGGCATGCAACCCGTGTATCAATGAACCATGAAGATAAACAATTAAACTGGCCATAGTTCCCTTGGGGCCTAGAAAAGAGCAGAAACATCAAGATATTTTTCGCAGCAAAGGTGATCACCAATCCACGCCTAAGTTGAATATTCAATAATTAGTGGCACTGGAACTTTGATACCACAATAACGATGGATGCTGGTGAATCGCGGCCGAAGATCACGATTTGTTCATTGTGTTTAGATGGACTAAAAGACGATTGTAGATGTTTTTTTTTCCTATGTTTACTCAAGATGATCTCTCTGATTCCCTTATTGGAAATATAGACTTTCCAAATGGGGAATGTGAGGTAGAATAAATCAACCAGCCAAGAAGTGGTCTCCACCAAGATAGGACATGGGACATCGAGCTGCTCCGTTCCAGCAGGGCCAATCAAACGCGCTGTCAACCAAGGCCGGCTGTGTTTCAACAATGGCACCACTGGGCACGGAATGCTGCTGGCTTCCACAAGCAGGTTGGCGTTTGATCTGGTCGAAAGCCCTGAAGGTGCTCCCCAGAACCCTTAAAAACCATTTTTGTTGAGCAAGGGGATAACTTCAACGCAAAACAAAAACTAGTTGGTGGTTTCAACTCGTTTTTTCAACCATAGAATTCGGATCATGGAAAGCGGATGGGGAAAGAGAGCTGAGTACATGATAAATTACAGTAGTTTGGCCGATACAAATCATCTGCAATCTGCGGATTTGTTCATGGCCATGAAACACCGAATATTATACCAGCACAATGGGCGGCATGGGCATCAATTACATGACAATACATGACAATACAACGGGCTCATTATGCCCTAATTTCTCCGACTTTTTGAGATAGCCGTTTTTTTTTGACTGTACCGAGCTTTGTTAGCAGCAATTGGAAAGCAGCGAGGTGTACCGAGCTCTCCAATTTTGTCCCCCTGGTCGAATCACCCGGTTCGTGGTCACCACCAAGAGTTGGTTCCAAGTTTTGACCTCCGAAGGAGACAAGATCTAGGTTGATATTCCATTGATGTACGTATGACCCTCTGGTAAACGTTTACATACTGTAACTATGGAAAATCACCATGTTCAATGGGAAAATCCACTATTTCGACTGGGCCATGGCTTCAATATTTTTCAATGTCGCAAACTGTGAATGTCATTACCAGAGGGGACATTGTATAACAACCCTTGGTGGCGCCAAGTTTTGCTTCTGCCCTCGCAGATCCAGCGTTTGTCCTTGCGACATGGGGCAGAGTTGCAACGGAAAGGATGGGGAGTGTCTCAGCAGACGGATGGGATTTCAATCGGCTGAATGCTTCAGGGCTTTGTCAACGTCCCATTAAAAACCTTGGGAATGGATAGAAGAAAAAAGTGATAGCCTCCACAAATTGGAAAATGACATGAGATAACCCGCCCTATTATTACGGTGATATATCCACTTATAACTGGAACTGCACCCCCAAGTATGAGAAATCCCGTCATTAGTTGGGTGATGATATGTCATGATGGAAGTAAACGTTGCATCCCCCATTTGTGAGATATTTTTGACTTAGGATAGATCCGTTTAGTCATGTTGGTAGCCATCAGCTTGACATGGCTGTTGGGGCTGATACCGACACCATCATTCATTTTTTGTACATTTCACCACGTCTGCGATAGGTTCCCACACTCTCGAAGGGCTGATACTTGGTTGATTTGTCCAACAACCATAGGAACATAGGGTTTATATATACAGTAGCCTCTGATAAACCAACATAGCTATTGAACATGACCATTTATAGTTGATTTACCCATTAAACATGGTGATTTTCCATAGTTATCTTAGTTTATATATACAGTAACCATCATGCAGTGCATAGCCAGTGTAACTGGATAAACCTTGGTGAATCGGTGGTCGATCTTCGAGATTAGGGGTTTGGGCGCCCTAGTTGTGTTGCATGAAGATGTAGCCATGCAATATCATGTATATATGGGTATGGATCAATACCTATTAATACCATTTTTAGGGGGATGAACATCCATTTACCAGCTATTTTGATGTTCACCAGGGGTACAAGGTTTTGACACACTGCCATATATGATATGTCCTTACCTAAAATGAATAGATCCAATACAAAGGCCGGTTTTAATGGTGCTATTTGAACTAGGGGGAAGGGATAGAAATTTGCAAGTCCACTGATGCACATGAGGGGGTACACGCTCGACTTGAAATGTGCAGGACGAGTTGTGGCTTTCACCCCATCTAGTAAGTGGATATGGGAGAATCAACGGATCATATACAAAGCGGTCAAGTATCTAATGTGGTAAACCTAAAGAATTATACTAAAGGCCACACCATACCCGAATGAGCGGTTTCACTGACTTAGTACCATTTGGATCCATTTGGGAAGCAATACTGTAATGAGGTTAACCCTACCCCTTACTTGATGATGGATATGAGCAGATGTTTACTATGTGACTATGTGGTTGTTTACCACATTCTCACAAGAATGACAATTACATACAATTAACGGCCATATTTTTATATTTACACCTCGTATTCATTGGGGAAACCAGACATTTCACATTTCCTCAAAGAATGGTTTTTCACTCCGCAGCTCAGGCGTGGCGCGGCTGGTTACGACAGCGGACGCGGGCCAAGGAACGGCAAGCTCAGGCGGTTTTTTGCGATGGGGGAACATGTCACCGCTGGATGGTCGGATGATGTCCTGGTGTCCTGGGAAGTGGAGATGTCCTGGGTTACCCTCTGGCAATATAACATAGCTATTGAAAATGGCCATTTATAGTGGATTTTCCCATATAAAGATAGTGATTTTCCATAGCTATGTTAAATTACCAGAGGGTATAACATGTTGCAACATGTTGGGTCAACCGGAGTGGCTTGCCCGGAAGCAATGACTCTGAGGTTCGGACCATGTGTTCTTTGTGTGTGTGTGTGTTCGGGTGAGGGTGTGGGGGGTGGGGGGGGGGGGGGGGGGGGGGGGTGTAATAACCTTCTTTGGTCTTGCGTTCCATCCAGAAAGGTTCTTCAAGGCACCTTTGAGAGATTTATCAAAAGTGAAGGTTGTGTATTTGTATGTGCAGCGGTGTAGTAGGAGCGAAATTTGCTGGTATTTGCAGTGATTTGGAACGTTTTTTTAATGTCTTCAACTTCATGATGTCTTGGGTTCATTGTTGATTTTCATACTGCACGTTCATGTGTTGTGACAACATATTTTTTCGCCAAATTTGGCGGAAAAAAATGTGTTACATTTGAGAAGAAAACATATTTTTCCAGAATGTTTAATTCCCCACCTGCCAGGTGAGGGTTGTTAGATTTTATGTCAGTTGCTTCCTCCTCGTCCTCCTCCTCCTCGTCCTCCTCCTTCTCCTCCTCCTCCTCCTCGTCGTCCTCCTCGTCCTCCTCGTCCTCCTGCTCAACTGCGACCCGCGATCCACAGTGTTCTCTGTCGGACCTCAACCACGACCATCGACGCCCAGTGTTCCCTGCCGGACCTCAACCACGACCATCCCCGCCCAGTGTTCCCTGCCGGACCTCAACCACGACCATCCACGCCCAGTGTTCCCTGCCGGACCTCAACCGCGAGCATCCCCGCCCAGTGTTCCCTGCCGGACCTCAACCACGACCATCCACGCCCAGTGTTCCCTGCCGGACCTCAACCGCGAGTATCCACGCCAAAAGATATGCCACATAGAGTGCCAGAAGATATGCCAGATAGAATGTTAGAAGATATGCCAGATAGAATGCCAGAAGGTATGCCAGATAGAATGCCAGATAGAATGTCAGCTAGAATGCCAGAAGATATGCCAGATAAAGTGCCAGAATGTTTGCCAGATAGAATGCCAGCAGATTTGCCAGATAATATGCCAGAAGATATGCTAGATAGAATGCCAGATGGAATGCCAGAAGATTTGCCAGATAATATGCCAGAAGATATGCCAGATAGAATGCCAGATGGAATGCCAGAAGATATGCCAGAACATATGCCAGAAGATATGCCAGAAGATATGCCAGAACATCTGCCAGAAGATATGCCAGAACATCTGCCAGAAGATATGCCCAGAAGATATGCCAGATAGAATGCCAGAAGATATGCCAGATAGAATGCCAGATCGAATGCCAGAAAATATGTCAGATAGAATGCCAGAAGATTTGCCAGTAACAAAATGTATAAATGTCATGGTGGGGATTACACGAAGTAAAGTAATTTTTTTGTCAGTGCACCAGTAGATATACTTTTGGAACAGATTCCGTTTTCAAGTTTTCTTCTCAAATGTATTCAAATGTAACAACATCTTTTTCAGCTAAATTTGGCGAACAAAATAAATGTCTTTCACAACACTTCAAGCTCAGTATGTGAACCTATCTTACCTGGGTGCATGGGATGTTTTTTTGAAACCCAGTCATATGTGGAGCGAGGGGGACCTGGATGACAGAATCAGGTTACCATGCATCAACAAAGCATGGGTGACTTACGAGTCGGACTGATGGCTGACTTAGCCTCTGGTGGTTTAATGGTGGTTTAATGGTGGTTTAATGGTGGTTTAATGGGATTTAATAGGATTTAATGGAGATACCCTCTGGTAAACAGCCACATAACTATGGAAAGATCCACCTTTTTATAGCTGGGTACATCCACTATTTCGACTGGGCCATTTTCAATGTCGCAAACTGTAAACGTTTACCACGCCGGGTAATTTTCGACTATAAATAGCTCTTGCAATCCCTGGCACATCCAAGTCTGGGTAAACGGACGGGTGGACACTCCTATCGAATCAGTGGTAAATCAGAGACCTCTTCATGCGTTCACTCAATGACTGTATATTTAGGATGTAATTTACACGTAATTTACACACAAATTATATAGATTATATTAGGTTATTATCCTGTGGCCAACTGGAATCTATATCCAAGTTGGCTAATGCGTAAATTTTGCCATCAATTTGGCAGACTTCCAAATTCTTAGGATGCTCTAAAGGATGTGGCAGGAAATTCTGTTGGGAAACCTCTCAAACCGCTGGTGAATCATAATTTTCCAATTCACAGATGACCAGAACTTGGGAGTATAACAAGCATTTTCAGACATAGCCATGACTAAAATGGCAATTTCATCCTTGTTCCCTCAGGTCTTGACTCTTGATGGCTAAACTGGCAGCCAGTTGTGATCCTTACCCAGACAACATGAGGCAAACCATCCAAACTAAGGCTTCAGTTGGGTTCTCCAGCTAATGTAATATCCTATATATTCTATATTATTTGTATATTATTTGTATAAAACATATATCAAAGGCATTTAAAAATTTATGTTTTTCGATGTTTTTCCACTGCCACAGCCACTATTCCTTTAACGGTCGAAACCGGGCGCTTCTCCCCACGTCGAAGAGGCGCTGCAGCTCTTTCTGCGCGGCGAACGCTTGGTGGCGCTGCGGAGGCTGTTGAGAGCCAATGAGGAGCGACGGCAGCTGCAGGTGGGGAAAGGAATCAACAGCTTCAGATTTTTGAAAAAAGACTGTACTGTTTTGAAAAAAATCTTTTTTATGGAATGGGATTTGGGTTATATATATATTATATATATATTATAACATATAACCAGCAATATGGGAAGTTAATGGAAGTTATATGTATATAACTTGGTAGATGGGGAAAAGAGCTCCGTGTTGCTTCCTGGTCAGGTGCAACGCCTCGTTGCTGCCTGGAGGGGATCATTGGCCTTGAAACCGTGGGTGGCGAAGTGGAAGGAGCTGTGACTTGGATGAGTTGGATGGTGGTTATACCGTGATGGTTTAATGGTGGTTTAATGGTGGTTTAATGGGATTATAATGGGATTATAATGGGATTTAATGGGATTTAGATGGTATGTAAGCATCAACTTTAGGGACTTCATGGGATTTAGATGGATTTAGATGTTTTTTTTTTTAAATGAGATTGAATGGGATTGATAGAATGGATGACTTGGACTTGGACAAAAAAAATGAGGTTTTGAAGCCAGAAAAACTGAGGTTTTGAAGGGCTTGATGTATCTCCAGATGGGTTTAATTAAGTACAGAACATAGGGGTGTAGAAACCCAGACCCACTGGGAGTTTTTTGATTCATAAAAAAAGGTGTATAACCTGTGAAGATGGTCTTAAACCACTTTCAACCTTAATCATATTCAATACTTGGGAGATCAATGCTGATTTGAGACATTCGATTTGGAATTCAATTCTGAATAGTTTTTTCAGTATCATATCTAGTTTTGTTTATCGAAACATGACGCACCATCAGTCGCCTACAGGTCCCTGGTTTAGTACCGGATTGGTCTTTTTAGGGGCCCATATGCAGGTGAATTTTGTTGGATGATCCTTTGAAAGAACTAATCCCAGCAGCCTAATATGAAACACCCCATAAATGATCCTAGATATGTGATTTCGTCCTCTACTAAAGCATGAATTCTTGGGGGTGTTTAATTTTAGGGGCAAGTCCGGGGGAAGTGATTTCATGGATTTCATCGCGGTGCCATTGAAAGGTTGATCCCCATTGGGGATTTGAGACACCGTGCTGCGATGAGCTATATATCTTCGGGATTCCGGGATTCACAATGACCTAGGAATCATCATGTTGGAGATATCCTTGATGTTGTTGGGGAAAAAATAGTAACATCCACTTGGGAGCTTGACCAAGTGAAATTATCATATGGTGTATGTAATTATCCAAGACAATATGTTGCGGAAAACTTTTAATGACTGGTCAGTAGCCAAGTAAGGATATAATATGATATATCTCGATCAAGAAACAACCGGGTGGTAACTATCCCACTTGGACCCCTCAAATGGAGGTTCAACCATGTTTCACCAACAAATATCTGTTTTTATACATATATATGTAATGATATATATATATATATATGTAATGATATATATATATATATATTTCAATGTATACAAACGTTGTATTTCAGGCCATACGTGGCCATATGGACGATACATGCATGAATCACCAGTGGTTGTGAAGCAACTCGGAATGTCACCAAGCAAAATGTCCATCTCACTCGCGAGCTGTCCATTCAATTTCACATAGTGGAAGTCATCAACACTTATAAACCCAATAAGAAAATAATAATAAAATAATCATGGTAAATTCCCAATAACTATTTATTATGGTTCATAAATTCCATAAACTAATAGTGGGGATGGTAAAATAATAGTGGAAGTACACCCAAACCCATTCACCATCCCCAATCGCAGTTTAGGGAAAAACCCCTTGGGATGATGTCAACTGACCAGTCGGACAGGCTCATGGGTTTTCATGGGATGGTTTATATACTGTTGCTACATGAACAAACCATGGTCATCAAATAACATACATGTAACATGTTTTTTTTAATTTTAATGATGATGACCATGTCTGTTGGGTTTAATTGTTATTTGATGGTTATTTAATGGTTATCTAATGGTTATTCAATGGTTATTTGATGGTTATTTAATGGTCATGAAACCACCATGGTCAAACTGATGGGTTGAAGCTATGGCTGACCAAGGTGTGAGAGGTCGGAGAGGCCAAAGCAGATGTTGCCGCTGTCTTCATCTAGAAGCTTGGTGCTGAGGTGCTGAGATCGGGAGCCATCAAGATGGGTTATTGGGATATGATGGGGATATATAATTGGAGATATGGGATGGGATATGGGGATATCATGGGAGATATGCTGTAATTTAACCAGCAAACTCAGATAGAATATGTGCGATGTAATGATGTGATAGAGCCAATACAAGAAACTTCCGATTTCGAGTGTTTTAAATCCTATTTGTTTCTGGTAAGCGGCTGGGGATTTCTTGGGCATTATTGGTAAGTTAGGTCTCCATTTGCTGTTGATCACAAATGCATTTATTGCTGATAAAATCCCACTTATTGGAAGATTTATTGGTAATTATCTTTTCAGATTTGGGGATGTTGTTTGTTTGTCACATCATTGATGGTGTGATATCTATATCTCATTTACTCTTGCAATTTCCCAGCCGGTATTGTTGTTAGATATATTGGTAACTTTTAACGACATCATTTCACTGTCCATATCATAAGCAGTTCAACATCCCCATTTCTGTGGAGTGAGCACCCAATTTTTATGGCTTAAATCCCACTAATTTCTTTTGGTAAATCACAATTATTCAGATTTCTTGAATCATCTTGAATCCCCCATTTCTGTTGGTTAAATTTGGTTAAATCTTCATGTCCCTCAGTAAATCCCAGCATTTCTGGATGTTGGGCACCAAAAATCGCCTCAACCTGGTCCTAGGCCTCGAGGATTTTCGACAAAAGCTCCGCGCTGAACGGAGCGAACGGAGCGAACAGACTCGCGCCGAAGCGAAACGGATATCGCGTTTTTTTTGGTGCCGATGGGTTGGGTTTAACTGGCCAAACACGGTAAAAATCATGGAAAATACATGAACATCATCCGTAGAATGGGAATGCAACGGGAAAATACGAGATATGAAATCCAACACGTATGATATTTGGGATTGAAGATGTCGGGATTTTGCCAGGGAAACTGGAAACTGGAATCGAGGGATGAAAGCAAACAAACTTTGGGTGAAGCAACAACCATACACACTTCGGGGAATCAACAACAGATGGAGGTTCAAATCGGTAATGCACCTACAAGAAATAGGGATTCGACCCTGAACAATGGGAATGGCTCACTGCATGGCCATCTATTAATCTATTTTGGGATATGAAATAAGACTGACCTTTCCCCCACTTCATGGTATTCTGACAATATCCAGAAGCATCAAAAAGTGGTTGAACAATGAGTTTGGTCCACAAAAAGGACTCTTTGGGTGTTGCTTGAATTCAGGGACTAATCAAACCATGACATCCCTTACTAAGAATGACTCATTTTGGTGTTTATGGGCCATGGGGATACATACCGGGATACCCAATTTAGACAACCCACCAGACAAGTATGTCAGATGAGCAGGATTTCTCTAATGACTCTAATGTTACTTTGCCAATTTTCGCCAGAGGAAAAACATGTCTCAAGGAGCACAATAGAGACACAGGAAGGTTCACATTCTAAATGAAATCCCCCATTTTCAGGCTTGAGTGGACACACAAAAAATTTGAAGCTATTCACATTCACATTCCAGAAAAAAAAACATTGAATTTCCAGATTATGGGATCCATTGAATTTTTCTTGAACAACCATTTTTGGGAAAATATGGATATGGGTGAAAGCCCAGACCATCATTTGGAGGGGGTTAGCAGCAGCCACAACCTCTGGATCAGTATCCCAGCATCCCAGTACAGAATTCCATAAGCCAAGGTACCCGGCCTGGTTATGTCAACAGTTTGCGACAAAAAAAAGCCATGGCCCAGTCGAAATAGTTGATTTTCCCAGCAAAATAGCATGGTGGATCTTTCCATAGTTTTTTCTAAACGGGTAACTCCCATTAAATCTCCATTGAATCCCATTAGATACCATTAAATCACCATTAAAAGACCATAAATCCCATTAAATCACCATAAAACCACCATTTTCCTATGGTTTTCCTATGGTTTTTGGTCCAAAGTACCAGAGGCTACTGGTTGATTTTCCGAAGCGAATCCCCATGGACCAGGCGCCTGGAGGATGAGCGTCGGCGGGAGGATGAGCGTAGGAACGCCCAGCGAAGGGAGAGGGGGAGGGGACAAGGTCAACAGTTGAGTCCTTTGAAGATAGCCATTTTGATGGATGACTATATGGATATTATATGGATATTTTCAACTATCAAAGATAGGCGATTCAAATATGGGGATATTCACCATCATTCCAGTACCATATTGGTTATTATACGGGGGTCTTCACTAAATTATGGGTGTCTAAGCACGAATTCCGATTTTAACGAATTTTGATTTTTACAAAAACGTCTAATTCTCACATCTTTTTGTGTTTCATCGCGAACAATATGGATATAATTGATGGGTTGATCTCTCATCCCCTGGCACTGCCCAAGAGCCCCTCGAGGTCAACGCGCGCAAGAGACCGGGGGCCTAATGTGGTCGGATAAACCTCCACAATGGCTTTCTGCTTTTCCAGTTGAGAGGGGATAAACATCACTATGGATGATTAATATGTATATATATACATACATATAGAGATATTATATATAGTACTGCTGTTTAGTTGTGTTATCATTATATACTATGCGTATACAGTATATATGATGAACCCCTCATATCCAATATTTTGAGGATTTTCACCGCATGCACCAACCCCTCGCACCTGGTGTACCATGGTGCACCCTTGTTGGGTCAATGGACATGAGAAACTTCTGCTGGCGACCAGATTGTCCATATCCAATGTCTGTTGGGGGCTATAGATCTGCTTAGCAAAGAGGCACGAGTGCGAGTGGCCCCAATCTGCAGTATTTGGTGTGTGTGATTCCATGTATTTTCTACTTTATACATCAGTTTTCAGCACGATGACTACGATCCTTCACACAAAAATCATAAAATGGCCATGCAGAAAATCATCATTGTGCTGGGGGTTTTTGAGTCGTATAAGTCCAATATACCCGAGATATTCCAATTTGGGGTTGGGTCAAAGGTCCCCAAAATCTGGTGGGACCGGATATCGTGGGATGATCCACCACGACATCGCCCAGGGACGCCAGGGACGCCAGGGACGCCAGGGACGAGCGACGGGAGGACCAGCCAGGGGTTTTCCGGTTTTCCCCAATTTGTTTCGCGGGAATCCGACGTGACGTTCAACGACTGCGTCATGGAAAATGGTTATATAGTTATATAAAGGTTCAATATTGGTTTTAGATGATACTGTGTTATATATTGTTATATGATTGCCTATTTCTGCTTGAAAATGATCAAAACATTCCGGTCCTGTGTCTGAGGCGCGAAGGTATCTCAAGATTCCGCGAGGTTTTCAGCATTGTGGCTCGAGATGTCAATATTTTGGGTGGAATTTCCATCCTTGTGCTTTCGTCCTGTGCCCTGTGCACTTGCGTAGCAAGTGCGGCGGCACATAAGCTCTCAAACGGTGTTTGCGTTGAAACACAGAAAGGCACAACAAATACTGGTTTAAACAGAATGCTTCAAGTATATGTATCGTTTGCAAGCGGTCGTGGTGAATCAGTGTCCCTTCCAGCAACCTCTCCTGTCAGGGACTTGAAGATTCTGGCCCATAATTGTCTCAGACAGGGGTTCCTGAGGCTTGTCAAAGGGGATGGCAGTGTCTTGCCCAATTCCATCATCACTTTGCTGGACGCGGGGATTCAAGACGGAGAGCATTTAACAGTTGTTGTGCAACAGGTGAAAGTGTCAGCATCAACAAAAGCCTTTGCAGTTTGGTGCTATAAAGGTGATGGCATTGTGACTTGGGGCAATCCAAGCCACGGTGGTGACAGCTCTGCAGTTCAAGATCGGCTCAAGAATGTGAAGCAAATTCAGGCCACATGTACGGCATTTGCTGCCATTTTGGCTGATGGATCCGTTGTGGCCTGGGGCGATCCAGATTACGGTTGTGACTGCTCTGCATTTCAAGACCAGCTCAGGAATGTGAGGGAGATTCAGGCTGCATCCGCAGCATTTGCGGCCATTTTGGCCGATGGATCAGTCATTACTTGGGGATGCCTTGGTGCGGACAACTTTGCAAATCAGACACGGCCCAGGCAAATTCAGGCAACGGGTGGAGCATTTGCGGCTATCTTGGCTGATGGGTCAGTTGTTGCCTGGGGTGATCCAAACTGTGGTGGTGACTGCTCTGTAGTTCAAGATCGGCTCAAGAATGTGAAGCAAATTCAGGCCACATGTGCGGCATTTGCTGCCATTTTGGCCGATGGATCGGTTGTTACCTGGGGCTCCAGAGGCTTTGGCGGAAAAAGCTCTGTGGTGCAAGATCAGCTCAGGAATGTCCAGCGAATTCAGACAACAGGTGGAGCATTTGCCGCTATTTTAGCCGATGGGTCGGTGGTTTCCTGCGGTGACCCGACCAAAGGTGGTAACAGCTCCGCTGTTGGTGAACTTCGGAATGTGCAGGATGTGCAGGCTACAAGTTATGCATTCGCGGCTACCTTGGCGGACGGATCCGTTGTCACCTGGGGCGATCTTAGCCGTGGCGGTGACAATTCGGATGTTCAAGATCAGATCCAGGGGTTGTAGTTGCAATGCTGGGCTTTGAGAGTAATGCTGCTTTGCTTTGCCAGAATTGATGGAAAAATATGTTCATCCTTCAACATGAACTCCTAACATGCGCCATTTCCATTCATTTCCGATAGGTCCTACATAATGAACTAGTATATATTTAATATATATATATATACATACATACAACATACCCAGTATGTACAAAATTGCACAGTGTGTGAATATCCATATGGATCGAATACTGTATGACTTTGATTGCAGCCATCAACAATCGCCCAACATTTTTTGATGTTGCACCTGGGGCGGTGCGACAATTTGCATGATCATAGGATGGTCAGCACAGCCCTTTTTATGAGTGGCTCGATGTCAGATACCTGGGGCCTTTTGTGGCCTTGAGTGATTGGGCTTAACGGGAATTACCGAAGCATTCCTTAATGATAAACGTGTTTAGCCGGACAATCTTTCATTTACATCCATTCATAGTTTTTTTGCAACTGAACATGGGGATTTCGCCAGAGATGTTCGAATCAAGCATGACGGATCATCCAGTGCTATCACCATTCATCTCACCTTGGGGATGGTTTGTTACAAGAGGCTACCCCTAGTTAAAACTTAGTGAAACTTACCCATGTAACAAAAAATATATAAGTGATTTCATCACCGTAAACCCTAGTTAACCTAGTGAACTCAACCAAGTTCGCCAACGAACCGGCACCACCTTGTCTTTTTTCTGTGATTCCCTTGACTCAGCGGCAGGAGCGTCGGGCAGACATGTCGATGCTGGGGTGCTCAAACCCTGAAACCATTTGTTGAGTACGACCAGCATATTGAGGCATATTGCTGGGTAAAGCTTGGTTGAGTATGTGATTTTTTTTGGTGACAGAAGAATTTACAAAAGAGGTAAAATCGAAGTGCTTTGTAATCTAAGATTGGCCAAGGTTATACCGGAATAATTGTGTATATATTGTATCTACAACTTCGCTAAAAAACATCACTTTTCCCAGGGTATCTAAGATTGGCAATGTTTTTTCAACACTTTGGGGCCCTCGGATAGGTTCCAAATGTTCGGACACCACCGGACGGGTGTTTCATATCGACCAGCTAACTACCAAGACTTGACTGACATCCGCGCCACAGCGGATCTACCATCCTCAACTTGACCATAGATTGATGGTTGATGTTAAGAAAATGAACTGATGGTATACCATAAATTGGGGATGGTAAATTGATGGGATAAACCCAACTGGAACCCATAAATTTTACCCAACTGCCAACTTTCAAGAAAATGGTTGGTTTATGTTTCTTGCTTTACTCACATTCACCTCTGGTTCCATGTTAACATTTTACTATGGAAATTCAGCATGTTTGATGGGTAAACCAACTATTTCTATGGCAATTTTCAATAGCTATGTTAAATTACCATAGAAATTCGTGAGGGTATACCAATTTAAAAAAAATATCATAGCTTCAATTTTCAGTAGCTATTCATGGTAATTAATTTAAATCATCATGTTAAAATTCTAGAGGGTATACCAATTCATGATGGTTGAAGCCTATCCATGTACTAATCGCCATTGATTAAAAGGCCTGGTAAAGTCCCTGACCCCGAACAGGAAAAACATGTCTCTTTGAAAATTGGATCGCCACCTTTTTTATTGGTGGTTTAATGTGGTTTAACGTGGTTTATTTGGTGGTTTATCTGGTGGTTTATGGATGCAAACATCATCATCAGATTTTGAAGGATAGGATAACCCCCATGAAATACAGGTCCAAACCCGGGGGAGGGTCAATTTTGACCATATGACTGGGGGAATAAACAACCATTTACCATCCGGGTCGGGTTTTGATCCCGTGATCCTTGACTCAGAGGCACCCATGATCCTTCAGGTCCGACCGCCATGAACGTCAACGTCGCTGGGAGCCCAGGGGTCAGTCATTTCAGGAAACCCCCCAAACGATATCATATGTTGGTTACATGTGTATGTCCATGATATATTCCCGCATTACATATCGCAACTCTATAGACCAACTATGACATATATATATACATATATTTACATGTATGTATGTATGTATGTAATGTAATGTAATGTAATGTAATGTAATGTAATGTAATGTAATGTAATGTATGTATGATTATGTATGTATGTATGTATGTATGTATGTATGTAATGTAAGTATGTATGTATGTATGCATGCATGCATGCATGTATGTATGTATGTATGCATGCATGCATGCATGTATGTATGTATGTAAGTAATGCATGTATGTATGTCTGTCTGTCTGTATGTATGTATGTATGTCTGTCTGTATGTATGTATGTATGTATGTGTGTGTATGTATGTATGTATGTATGTATGTATGTATGTATGTATGTATGTATGTATGTATGTATGTATGTATGTATGTAGTATGTATGTATGTATGTATGTATGTATGTATGTATGTATGTATGTATGTATGTATGTATGTATGTATGTATGTATGTATGTATGTATGTATGTATGTATGTATGTATGTATGTATGTATGTATGTATGTATGTATGTATGTATGTATGTATGTATGTATGTATTTCACCTATGTATTGCAACTACATCTCCCAATAAGTTATCGCCGGATTGATTGGTCAATCTTGATGAAATTACATATATGACTACATATAATTAGAACGTTTCTTTTTTGGTACACACATTTCATATCCCGTGATATCCCCATTAAAATACCCATTAAACCCCTTAAATCAACTCTTAAGTGACCAAGTTTTGACCACAAATGTGGTCTCTATCGAGGATGGGAGGAGGAGGAAGAGGCCGAACGACGTCGTAGAGACGACTTCGAACGGAGGCGTTTTTCGAGCTTTGTGGATGGAACAAGGGCAGTTTCACCAGTTTTTTTTTAACGGGGGAATCCATTAATCCTATACTGGTTGGTGGTTTGAAACATTTTGTATTTTTCCATGTATTGGGAATAATCATCCCAATTGACAAACTCATATTTTTCAGAAGGGTAGGTATACCGCCAACCAGTAAATATTTAGTAAAGACCTATCCTATAACTGTCCGTGATATCCCATCAAAAACCATCACCACTTAAAGGAGTTCATAGGATAGTGGTGGCTTTTGATGGGATCTTTTTCGGTGATCCCCATTGGACCTGGGTTTTTGGTGGTGATTTAACCAATACCTGGGATATAGATATAACTGATTATAACTGGGATAACTGGGATATGGGGGGTTTATAACTGGAAAAAAAATCCCCAATAGATATCATTGATATACCCTCTGGTAATGACTGTTACATAGCTACTGAAAATATTTGAAAATGACCCAGTCGAAATAGTGGATTTACCCAGCTAGAAAATGGTTATTTTCCAGTTCGTTATGTCAACGTTTACCAGAGGGTAATCATGCTGATCTATCCAGCAAAAGATGGCTGGCACACTCTGGAATTTGTGGTGGTTAACCAACAAGAATATCATTGGGGATAATGGGCAAAAAAATAACATATGATACCCTCTGGTTATTTAACATAGCCATGGGAAATGGCCCATGATACTTACTTGGGATTTGATGGAAAAGACTGGATATAATGTTGACACCATGGGAATACTCATGATATGGATAAATTTGATCACGACCTCACGTTGCGACGTTGTCAGGAATGATGGCTTCCTGACAGATCTGTGTTTATTGTTCTTCAGTGCCCAATACATCATGATAAGCCCATTCATAGCCAGCCACGTGGAAGGTGCTAGTTCCCATGGTTTGGTAGTGTCCTTGCATCCGTTGATGCCGTTGTGCCAAGAATTGAGCAATGTTTTTTTTCCACTCAAACAGTCCTACATACACTGGGTAATCATGATTTTCCTTGTTAAAGTGAC